CCGGAGGATTTCTGCATCAAAAGCCTTCTCTGCCTCTCCACTACAACAGTTCACCCAATACCAGATGTTGCTTCTCATAGAACGTGTTTATCTTGGAGCGTCACAGGTAAAATATCGCAGGGCCTGCAAACGCCCTGCTCTTCTGGAGCATAAACATCCCCAGTCCCACCGCGACGCCACGCACAACGCGCACGCGAAGCCAAGCTGCAGCGTGTCCTCCCAGGGACTCCTAATAAAAAAGGAAGGTGCCTGTCACCAAACAGCATGAACCACGAGAGTGCCCAACCACAAGGGTATCATGGAGACAGAAAAATCTAAGAATAGCAAGGGAAAAGTCAACAGATATAGTGGATGGCGTCTTAAATGGGAGCAAAATACCAGCAAGGACGAGAGTCTGGGGCAGAGAGTGTCCAGCTCTGGGAAAGACCCAATAGGTTGATATACTTGTTCTGACTTTCAGGAGTGATCTTTAAGTATGTGGACCATTAAAAAATAAATAAAGGTCATTACAAGAATGTCGTGCTGGAAAACGTGCCTTCAGCCTACACGAGAGAGGAGGTGGTAACTGCAGTCGTTAATAACGCTGAACTGGTCTAACCGTGCCGCTGACTTGCAGTGCGTTGACCGAATACTGCTGAAAAGGTTTACCTTCCTTCACGGGACAAATGTGCGGGGCAGGAGCCTCAGTGGGTGCAATGCCATAACTTCCTGGCCTGTGCTTTGCGTAAGATCAGACTAGGGGCTCCTATACAGCCCCACCAGCCTTCGAGTGTCGTCTACACTTGCTTGGGAGGAAAAAGCTGATTTCACAGAAAGGCACCGCGAAATCTGGTGCATAAAATAACTGTGATCTGGCTGCAGAAGCACCGAAACGTGGCCAATTCAACCTCCTCTCCTTGGGTTCCCCGAGTGGTTTGTGCCCTGCAGCCTGGCAGGGCTGTGAAACACGGTGGCGGGGGCTGCTGACGGGTGTCCCGCTGGTTAACGGGAGGCCACCGTGGTGGGAAGGTCAGGCTTCCTGCCCAAGACTGTTCACCTGCTCTGGGGGTGTTTTCTTGCGTGCAACGATCTTCCTTGTTGACCTGCTCTCCTGAAAGAGGAAGACTATGGGGAGCCAAGAAGCCACTGTCAGCATCACGGGGGCTCTGCAAGGAGCAGAAATGGGCACAGCGGAGTTAAAGCTAAGGAAATACGGCCACGCTCCATCCTTCGCTGGCTTCCAGCTATGACTAAGGAGGCAAAACGTCTTCTCCTTTGTGTTTTCACTTCCTCAACTTGTCATCTCCTCTTATTGTTTCAGCTAGGATTAGATAAACTCTCTAGTGGCAAGGAATTTGCCTTGGCCTCTGTTATAATCCACTTTTGGGCAAACAGGGCAAGTCAGGCTTCGGTAAAGCTCAGTATTTCCCGTTCGGAAATAAAGATTCATTCTGAGTTGCGAAAACGATCATTTAAACCACCTAGTGGGGCACCAGCAGGATCCACACGTGCAGGAGGAAACCTGCTCTCGGAGCGAGGCGCGGGAGGAGGAACGAGGCGGCGAGGCGGTGAGGCGGCGGTGAGGCGGAGGGCGGACGGGTGTTTGCGCCGCGCGGCTCCCGGCTGCAGCTTCCTGGTGTGGTTTGGGTGAACAGTCGTCCCATTCAAGCCCGCGGTGAACTCCAAAAGTAGAACCCTGGCCGCCTGCTCAGGACCGTTGTGAAACGGTCGATAGGAAACTCAACACCCAACTGTTTCTGGTCTGCAAGAAACGGCTAAGGCAGACTGGGCTGGAAGGCCGATTTTGTTGGTGTCATTAAATTTGATTGAGGAACTTGAGGGTTTAAGTGGCGCATGAGCACGAGCAGCAGGAAGGTGAGACTCCCGCTCAAGGGCACCGCCAGGTCTCTGAAGAGCCTCCAGCAGCCAACCTGCACGTAATCAACAGCCAAAACGTCACTCGTTCAGGGCTTGACAAGGACTACAGCTGCCGTTGGCTTTGCCTGAGATTGCAGAAGAAAATCGCTGGGGTGGTGGTGCAGAGACATGACCTAACCTGGTCACCACCTGACACCAGCTGATCCGGGATAAACACCTTCCAGGAAAACGAAGCTGCTCCCAGCCATGGTTGGGCCCGGAGCGACCCGAACGTCCCCTCAAGGAGAGCCCCTGGGTTCCTCGACGACGCGTTTCCTGCTTGGAGAGACGTCCCCCTCGCCACCCCGAGCAGGCAAACAGCAAGTTAAAATCTGAGTTGTGAAGGTAATGCAGGCCAGGAAAACAACCCGACCGCAATTAGCAACCCCCGCCTCTCAGGAAAGACCTCACCGTTATTGTGGGCACCAGAGAGCGGCTCCGCCACCGGCCGTGCTGAGAGGAAACCGCACGCGGGGCCGCTGCGCAACCCCCAGTGCCAGCGCCTGCCTCCCTCACAGAATCCCAGGATGGTTGAGGGTGGAAGGGACCGCTCAGGATCATCCAGTCCAACCCCCTGCTCCAGCAGGGACACTCAGAGCACGGGGCACAGGGTGGCATCCAGGCGGGTTTGGAAGATCCTCCCGGCAGAAGTTGGCAATGCGAGGCCCAGGAAAGGATGCGGAGCATCTGAAGGCCGGGAATAGCTTCCGAATGGGCTTCAGGCTCGCGAAACACGATCCAGGCTCTGGGCACTTACCCTGTCAACAACACATCACACGAGGCGTTTAGCTCGGCACGGAGCTATCGGAGCTATGACTGTCACTTCCATGCCCAAGCAAACGGCCTTCTGCCCCTCCAGGAGCTCAGCCTAAGCTTATTTCTGAGCATACACATTAATGCAGCCATAAATTCAACAACACATAAGGCTGCTCCCCTGAAGTGCCTTGTCTAAGGTGTTTATCTAACATCTAGGGTGTTTACCTAAGCTATTTCTACTGCTTAGAAATAGATCATAATTCTAAGCAAATCATTGAATACTACCAGATTTAGCCAAATTTTAGGCCAAGGACTAAAATGGATTTAATATTCAGGCAGGACCACAGAACTAAGGCCACCTTGCTGTGTGAAACATCGGTTTAAGTCAGCTCGACTTTGAGAGACTCTTTCAGAACCCTCCCCATTCCCATGAGACACCGTGATTTTGCGCGTTGGGTTTTGCTATTACTTCAGAGCGACGGCTTGCGGTAGACGGTTGGATGCCCCTAACTCGTTTGCTTAATTTGCAGTTGAGAGGAAGTTCCCTCTGCAAGAACGCGAGACCCTTCAGAGGAGACGCGACCCCGTGCAACGTGTCCCTGCTAGGGCAGCAGGGTTGGACCAGATGGTTTCTAGAGGCCTCTTCCAACCTCAACCATCCTGTGATTCCCTGAGATACTCTAAGTGCAAAATCAAGAGGCCATCCCTGAGGATGCCCTCATGTTTTCCGCCTTGACGCCAGCTGCCAGGTAGCTTTGTGTCTATGACTTTACCTGCCAGGCGTTCTCCTTCCTCCAACCACCCTTGCTGACCACTGTGCCCAGGTGCACGAGGCCCTCGAGCGGGTGCTCTGCACCACGGAGCGCGGGCTGAACGCCGACGCACGCGCGCTTTGCCCAAAATAATAACTCATGCAAATCCCTGCTCCGAGCAAATTCCACAATAGTACATCTTATCGTAAGCCAAACAGAAAGTACAAATACATGCGAGATCCATAAACCTGTATTAAAAGAATTTGCTCTTGTTACAGCTTGAATTTCCCTTTCTCCCTCCAACTGCTCGGCAAACTAACCACCAACTCTAAGTACTAACCAGGCACACATGAAGCATCAAGATCCATTGCAGAATTTTAGTGGCGTGGGAACAAAAAACCCTGTCCCCAGTGACGCTTCCTTACATGTTCATAGACTGAATAAGCACAAGAATCAAATCCTGCCAGCAGCGCTGGTGCCACCAGGGACAGCTCCAAGTTTTGTTGGACTTTGGGTACAGTGATGGGAGCTCAGATGCTGATCAACCACCATATTAGTAATAATAATAATAAACCCTTAGGCTGTATATAAAGAAAAATGGTTAATGCCGAGAACACATAGACCACGAACCAGTCAGTAAAGGGAAGAGGTGGAAGGGGTAAAACACGAGAGGCTACACTCTATTCAGCAGCCGGGAGCGGATCTTTTTGCTCCCAATCCTGTCCTAGCATTTGCAGCGTTGGCAACACCTACCGCTTCCCTCCAACAAATGAATGAAAAACATAGCCCTGCCTGCTAAGATTTCCAGCGTGCAATCCTTGCAGAGACTGTCAAGCCAAGGAAGCCCCTTGCTGGGACAAACTCCACCAAAAGGCAGAGGAGCAACGTGTACAGTCTGCAGGAGTGATAATTTCACTGCCCTGACACTTAATTCTAAGCAAAAAAGTTAAGCTAGAAATAATGAAATCGTGGCAAGAAAAGTATCTAGACATTGTAGAGTAAATATCACAAAAAAAATCCCAATTTACAGATACATTTAACTCTGCTTACATTATTTTATTTTCCAGTTTTGGCCATTATTTCAGTCTTTTTAAGACTGAACTGTGTTTAATTAAAAAAACGAGTACTCTCTCTTACCACATTTGGAGACAGACCAGCTTTCCCCAGAAGCTCAAGATGATGAAAATAAACTAATAAAATGTATTTTTAGGGCTTAAAAAAAAAAAAAAAGACAAGTCAGATCCTGAATTCCACCGCAACCGCTAAGTTTCAGCGGAACAAAATAATCCCTGTCCTGAGTTCTTTCAAACGAGAGTCAGGCCACCTCCGACTCCAGCCCAACAGAGAGCTCATTCTCCTTTGGGGGAGGAAGTCGGATTTTTTCCACTTAGTTATGTTCCCAGGTAATTCTTAAATAAGCCATCCCTTCCTCCTGCGTTTGGAGGGACGCTTTGCTCCAACAACTCGTTCCTGCCACATCCCGGCGCTGCTCCGTGTTGCCGGCACGGAGCACCAGAGCCTGAAATAGCTGCTGCTCCGCTATTTCGAGGAGAGGGCAAGCTCCGAGGTGCCAAAACGAACCACGCTTCTTCCTACCTTAATTACCGCAAGTAAATCATCCACCTGCAGGTCATTAGGATCCCATAAAGGTTCTTCTGGCGGGGCCCCCTGTGAATAAACCAAAAACAAGCCTTTTAAATCAGCTACGATGCAGCAGCACCACTGGAAAACTGAATGCTTTCCCAGCCCTCCAGCAAATCCATTCCTCTCCGTTTACCCATGTGCAAAATGCAACTTTTTCTTACGGGTCAAGCCAGAGACTTGCTCCGAGGCAGGAAGAATATATGGAGTTATTCTAAATACCAGAGGAATTATCTTGGGTGTCTCCAGCTATAAAAGAGCTTTTAGGCACAGCCAATGCTCAGGGATTTCTGGGTCAGAAATTGAGGGGAGAGAGTGACATGCAGCATGGCTTGATACGGACGCTGGTACTTGGGGGGATACAAAAGGGCAGTAGTTTAGAAAGTCCACAGAGATCATTTTTAATTCAGGGACATCTTAAAAATTCCCTTTGAAGAAGGAAAGATTGAGGCCAAGCTGCTGGAGACAACTCTCCGGCACAGGCAAGGAGCAGCAGCAGGCAGAGGAGCTCCCGGGAAGCCGGAGCCGCTTCCTGCTGTAGCCCTTGGATCATGGGATGAGGGCGGCACAAAGGCCCCGGCGGCGAGCGGGCACCTATGGTGGCCTTTGTGCCGGCATTCGGGGAGCAGCGACGTTGGCCAACACGTGCCGAGCCTCCCTGCTTCGCCTTCTGCAGGGCTCTGAACCCCAGCGTTTCCACCCAGGAATGTGTTTATCCCTCCTCTAGGTTCAAGGGAAGAACGGTGCTCCACAACTACGCCAAGAAATACAGGCCAGTAAAACTCCTGTCTGCTTTATTTCCCCGGTACCCACCCAACTCGTCTTGAGTTAAGGTCAATACAAAAGACCAGGAGCACGAATTCAACACCAAGCCCCAACCGCATTTTCCTTCTTGAGATTGCATGGTGAGTCCGTGCTTTGTTTTTCCAACTTCCTAGCTGCTCTAATATCAGAGAATTTGGGCTTAAAAATAGCTTTGATACAAGCTTTGTTGACCCACTGAACGGTGGCAGACGCAGCAATGACACAGACTTGTCCCGAGTCCCGTATGCAGCCGGGGCATGTGAGGCCACATGTCACGCTCTTGGCCTCCCGCTCCTTGCTCTGGCCCCAGCTTTCCAAGATTCCATCTTGGGAATCACAAGTGCTATATTTGCTCCTGGCTCTCAGGAGCGTGTATTTACTTAGAGCAAGCGGTTGAGGTGTTTGAAAAAGCTGTTCCACCTATGTTGATGTTTTCCCACCCAAACTAAAGAGACCAGGAAGCCAAACGTGTCTGCCACGAAGGTTCCTGAGGGTCACATACCAGCGAGGCGGTCAGCAGCGCATTTCCCAACCTGTCCGGATAGAGCCTTTGGCTTGAGGGTTCGGTGCAGCCCCACAGGGAACTGGCTGCAGTTCGGCCCTGCGGCTCGGCTCATTGGCCAGGATGTTCTCACACACTTGGACAAAGCAATCTCCTTTCCAAGCAGCTCTGGGATTTTGAGCCCTCAGCTGCGGCGCAGGAGTTGGGTTGTTGGCTTGGGAAGCCAGGGCTGCTCCCAGCTGATTCCAACTACTGCGTGACAGGTCAAGCCGTTTCCACGCTCTGCGCTGCTCATCTCCCTCCTCAAATATCTTTTGCCCTCATCAGCCCTATCTCCTGGTTTGGCAACCACCTCTTTGCAGGAGGTTGCACAACCACCCCTCTTTTTATTAATGTCATGTTCCGATGCTATAAAGCAAGAGATAAGAAACCTGAGGCATCTGGAGATGTTGTACTGAACCCATTTAAATAAATGACTAGTTTCTTCTCTCGGCATCTTCTCTCCCAAGCCCCAGGGCAGGATGCAGC